CAATCATGTTTCCTCACATATCTTCGTTTCCTGCTTCGCTACACCCTCTCGCTCGTATCTGCCACGGTGCCACTGATTTAAATAACAACCACAAGTACGGCCCCCAGGACCCACCACTTGCAGGATACGACCATCCCTGTCGAAGATTTCCTCGACCGATATTCGCCCTGTTTACACCTCCGATAACGGCTGTTGCTATGTTTCTCAAATTAGCATGATTTACAGGAGTTGTGTTTGAATGCTGTCATGTTCCCTAGGCGAAATATATAATACAATAGTTTACGATTAGATTTTGCTGTATTTGCCTTTTCAGTGTGTTCGGCGTCTACCTGATCGAGAATATACCAAAGCACCATCGAATGTGGATAAACACCATAGTAACATGGTCACCGAATTTCATCATCTATCCGATTATCGCCTACTTTTGTCACGATTGGCGTAACCTGGCTCTGTTCAGCTGCGTCATTTCCGTCGTCACAATAATCAACCTCTTGTGAGTTATGAGTGCTTCATTTGTTCCTTGTGTTTTTTTTCGATATATGTTGCCATTAGCCAGCTAGCTAGCCGCCCTTTCTGGAGAGCTTATCATAGGATGGACATAGTCAAAATATTGTCGAACGCCTTAGAGTTTTGGGAGAGCTCACAATTCCTAATTTCGCAGTTACTCTGATTCCACGGAAAGAAAAAAGAAAGAATTTCGTCTTCTGCTGTGTCAAAACGCAACATATTTTTTTGCTACAATTGCAGCTGCCTTCACGAAAGTCCACGATGGTTGATTCAACATGGACGAATTGAGGAGGCGCGTCGAGTTCTCACGAATATTAGGCGTCTGAATGGCAAAACATGCGAAAAAGAGGCTACTGAAATCGAGGAGATGCTACGATTTGAACAAGAGGCAAGCCACTTGAAATAAATGTTATTATCAGTTTGGCTCCGCTCGGGACTGCACGGCAAAGTAGGCTTCAGCAGAATTGTAGAACTGAGCATAGCTGGGTTCTTGTTACGAGGCATGTATGCTTTTAATGGATCTGATTGATGTTATAACGAAAGGTTATTATAGTGCTGTGATAAGGCATTCGTTCCCCTCAGCTCGTCATTCCCATAAACATCCTATCATATTTCGGGACCAACATGGTCTAGCGGCCGAATAGGATAACTAATGATACTAGAGCTACACAGTATCGGGACTTAGCGTAAACAATCACATGTTTCGGATTTTGGGATGGTTCTAGCGATTGAGCGAATTCTTATGCCGATGACATTGAAATTGAAACACCAATACTTATCACAGTGCCACGGACACCGACCATCTTAAGAAGTTTT